CCCTTTAATTAGGTCATTAGTCGGGGAAGAGCTTGTAGTATAATTACACGTGTCCATTATCTACTTTCCGCTTCTTGCCGCAGGCGTTACGGCGATTCGCCTGTTTCGCGGAGCTGAGAATCTGGGAGCTCGCAGATGAAGAGCCGGCATTAGGGGTTTACGAGGCGAACACTCGGAGGGTGGTTCGGCGAGACGTTCGCGGTGTCGGCGAGTGGATTGGGTAAAGGTCGGCAGGGGTGGCGAGGGGGGTGGTTATAAGAGGTGAGAATTATTCATAAACGTAGGCTGACTTTTCGTGGCGGAAGAGAGAGAAAGAGAGGGAGAGGGGGAGGGAGAGAGAGAGAGAAAGAGAGAGGAAAGGCGCGAGTGGGAGGGAAGAAACGGCGTAGATCTCTCCCGTTCCGTTCCCGGAGTAGCTGAAATCTACCGAATATTAAGGCAGGTGAAGGGTGACGGGGAGAGGAGGGCAGGGCGAGGTCCTCCAGGCCGCATAATAAACACATAACGGTAATCCTTAAAACAATAATTAGCTGCGCGGGCCAACCAAGAGGCGACGATCTTACGGCGCCGCGCGGAATGGCGCCGCGTTCGCAATTCGTTGTCGAATTAATACCGGGGGCTCGCGACAGAGTGTAGCGCTACTCACCCACACCGTGACCGCATTATGCGCTAGGAATTGTACTTACTTCCTATGGCGATTATCCGCGGGGAGTGTTCGCCGCCGCCTCGGGGGAGGAGAGCGAACCGGTATATCGCGGCTAAACTGTTGTTATTTATTGCTTTACGTCTAACGCACCCGTAGTCGACTTTCAACGGCATTGGTATCTCGCGACAGAGTACCATGATTAGTTCACGTTACAAGATTGTGCCATTACACCGTACAAAAGTGGACCGCTAAGATCAAAAAGATCAAAAAGGCCTCTTTTATCGATAAAAGCGCTTCTACAAGTGGCTTGTAGCCAATCAGTGGATTATCACTGATTGACTTTTAGAGAGTAGTTTTGTATCGATACTTTAAAGCCAGAAAGGAGCCTTCATAATTACTAGCACTATCAGAATCGTTAGATGTCAGTAGATAAAGATTGGTCAGATATAAAGCTAATTGCAAGTAGATTACTACCGGATATGTCAGACCGAGAGATGCTACGTAGAAAAAGACTACGATGGTCAGGCAATATGATTTATGTTGCATATGTATTGTGCGTACTAGATTGACTCTAACAAATTTACAGAAATAATTTCTCTGCACTCTTATTTGATAGAAACCGCGCGCATTTACTCTCTAAAAGTCAATCAGTGTATCATCACTGAAAACAGTGAATAGTCACAGTGAATAGTCACTGATTGGCAGTTACAGGCAACTGAAAATCGCAGTGGTATACTTGCAACTGTAAACCAGTGACTACTCACTGTTTCCAGTGACGATCCACTGATTGACTTTTAGAGAGTGCCTAGAACACAAAGCATTTTAATCTGACGAGACGAGAACGTCGCGTTTACATTTCGCGCGTCTCTCCTCTCGGTGGTGAAACTGCTAGATTCTTGATCCTCAGGGGCGCTGAGAACACCCGAGGAGGACGAAAAAGTCTCCCAAAGGTGAGAGAGAGCTGCGCGGGTCGGTCGGGGGAGGGTAAAAAGGAGCTCGGGGACGAAGTGGGGCGAGACCGAAGGGGTGCCGCGAGGTGGTAATAGTTTTAATCCGGTGTCTTGAAGTCAGGATTTGGCGGCGCGGCAGTTAGTGGCTGCCAGTAAGTCCAGGCGAACCCACTTCGCGCTCTGATATCATAATCCGAATAATCACTATTATTGCCGCCATTTGCTTAATCCGAGGCCCGTTTCCCCCTGCCCCGCCGCCCGGTCGGCAAGCTGCGGGACCTGTTATTCGGTTTCAGGCCGAGGACGACGAGGGCGACGTTCTTATCGAAAGTTACCTTCTGCATCTTTAAGTCTCGCTTCAATTATTCCGACGCTCTGGAACGGGTACGACATGAGCCAAGTCTGCGATCTTCGGAAATGGCTGGACAAATATCTGTCTGTTCGCGAAAACGATTTTGCTTGTTACAACCAGTGGACCTGCTTTATTTAGCGATATAATAATTTACCAGCTCCTGTCGAACATTTCTAGAATCGAGCATCTCTTAATGCCTAAATAATACGAAATGAAATCATGTTCATCACAATGTCGCGCAAAAACCGAGAATATGGTACGTTCTCGCGATACAAATAACTTTCGAAGTACGAACAGTACGCTCTTCCTATGGCTCACAATTTTTGACGTTCTCTAATACGGGAGATATTTTCCTGGCCCGGTCTGATCCTCGTATCGAGTCATCTGAAATCGCGAGACGATTCGCTCGAAGTTTCAGGCCATTGGCGAGGCCACGCCGCTGAGTCTACCGGAAGTTTCGCCGGCAATAACGCATAAACTTCATTTAGCCTTATTTAAGCTGACTGGAAGGTGGCAGACATTAAATCCCCGAGATTCGTTCTAATGGCCGCGACTCGGAAGCCCGCGATCTTTCGCGAGGAGCGCGCGCACAATGCGCGCACCGCGCGCGTCCTTAATAAATTCGCTCGAACCCGAGCAGGCCGGGCGAAATCGCCTAAGTGAAACGACGAAAAAACTTTAGCGCAAACTGCCGCTCTTAATCTGGACAGTTTGTTTAGCGGCGGTCGGTTGTTCCTCCCTGCCTCGCCCGCCTCTTTCTCGCGTTGCCCTCGCGCGCTCCCTTTCCCTCTCGAGAAATAAGCGGTTCGTTCGCTTCCGGAAAAAGTTCGGAATTACGAATTAGCAGGAAGTCGGGGAAGGTACCCGGCATTTATTCTGAATTCAGCTTATTATGAAATTATAATGCGTGGGACGACTTAAAACGAGCCGGTTACCCCTTTCGCGTTTATTCCGCCGGCGGATTAAGAGTCATCGTATTTCGCTATTAATTACGCTTAATTTAAAGGCGAGTTTTCAGATTTAGGCGATACCCAGCTTCATCCCGAAATATAAGTTTCGTATTACGATACTCTAAAAGACCACGGAAAATTTCTCTTGCTCGAAACCATCGACATTTATTTCAGATACATGTGTATAAAAGTAGCACACTTAGACTTGCAGTGTATACTGTTCTGAATCTAATACCAGAAAATATTCATTGTTTAAAAGTTGTTTTCTATACAGAAGCAGTGGACGCTCTAGTAAACAACTTTTAAAAAAATAGAAACTTTCCAGGTGTTAGATTTAATACAGTATAACGATTGGGAGCGTGGCTAATAATTTTGTCTAAGGCTGTATTTTGAAATCGCCTAGTCCTTTTGAATTTCATGAATATGAATCTGTATAAAAGTAGTACACTTAGACTTACAGTGTATACTGTTCTGAATCTAATACCAGAAGATTTTCATTGTATTAAAAGTTGTTTTCTGTACAGAAGCAATGGACGCTCTAGTAAACAATTTTAAAAAAATAGAAACTTTCCAGGTGTTAGATTCAATACAGTATTACGATTGGGAGCGTGGCTAATAATTTTGTCTAAGGCTGTATTTTGAAATCGCCTAGTCCTTTCGAATTTCACGAATATGAATCTCGAATTACATGAAATTGCGATTCTATCGCTGACGGTATCAGGTATTAAATTGTATTACAAACTGAAAATACACACACACACACACACACACGGCGGATGTGCGAATGATGTTCGGGATACCGATCGACTGCGATCGACCGCGCCGCGATCCAGCGACGCGCGAGCGAGTGTAATCTCCAACGGCGCCCGTAATTGCGCGACGTTCTAATCGCCCGAAAGATTACGACCGGGGGGTCGGAGAGCGCAAACGGGACCGGGGGCGGCGGCGGCACACACTACCGGGTAATGTTACGCGAGACAGTAGTCTCGGGTGGCATGTGTCGTTGATGAGGCGGTTAGTATTCAGCGGTGCTTCCCGGGCCCCCGGAACTTTTGAAAACTAACCGAGTAAAGCCACCTTAATTCCATAAGAGGGAGGCCGAAGGGGTTCCCCGGGCGTCACCGTAACACCCTCTTAATTACAGGATATTAGGACGCCTACGGGAGACGCGGCGATGGCGCGGGGAGGGGGGGGGGAGGCCAGATAGCGCGATTTATTATCCGCCGCTAACCTTATCTCCTTTTTACGAGTCAGACTTTCTTGGTGGTACGCGGTTCTTTTTCCTTCCGGACGGTGCGACTCGCGCAGGGGCACCAATGAGACACTGATCGTCGACATCGGCCGCCCCGGTGTTGCTAATTCAATTATCTTGTTACACTCACGCGGATACTTCGATGGAGAAGCCGAATATTTTAACAAATAGAGTTAAATCAGGGAAGTTATGATAAAAAATCAAATAAGAACCGAGAACACCAGCTTTTAGGTCCGAGCAAGATGTAGGTAGCACAATAATTAAAAATCTAATATGTTGGTAACGCAGCATATTTCCTTCCGTCTACTTCCTTTACGTTTCTGTACCGCGTATTTTGGGTGGAAATTTACTATAAGATACTTAGATCGTAACAATCGTAGAAGAGTGAGATAGCCTATGTTTCTCTCTCACTCGCAGGAATTTGACCAACTCTTATGGCCAGTCTCTGATTACAGGGTCTCTACTTTCGGACATATAGCACAGTTTTGTTAGGGGAAATCATTGTCGTGCAGCAAATTCACATGTTTTAAATCGATAAACGATTTTTAATTATTTTTAAAGATGCTATACCTGGCATTCAATACAATACTCTCCTCCCCGTACTGAATTTTAATCCCATGCTTTTTACAAAGTTTTTTTTGAAAAAGATTTGAAGATACACATGCATGTAAGAATAAGTTGCTGTGTTCGCTTACATAATTGTTTCACTGCAACATTATTCGTAGTAAGATCATTTTTTGGGGAATTAAAATTTTCAGGTAAACAGATCCCTCTTCATTGCTCGCATAATTTTTAAGAGCACTTTTCATAGAAGCAACATAAAGATTTTCCAAGATTAATGTGTACTCACGTGCAAAGAATCTCTTCTTTGCCGCCTTCGTAAACGGCGTCCTTGCCCCATCGTTTCGGCAAATCCAGGAGAGCGACGCCCAACTTGCCCCATAGTGCCAGTTGCGTCGCTGTCTCGTTTATCAGTAAGTTTGCGACTTCAAATATCGGCGGATCTGTTGGTTGTAGCGTCTATAACAAAAAAGTAAAAAATATTGTTAGTAATCGTGAATATCATTTCGATCTAATATTTTATAATTTTATCAATAATATATAAAACAATTCAATTCAAGATTTCGTGATTCCAAATCTTATCTATAAAGATGTAATGCGTTACAAAAGAAAAAGGCCACTTTTAACGAAGTTACAAACGCAAGAGAGAGAGAGACACACGTGTGATTAACAGATATTTTGTCACCAAAACTTAAATTGCATCTCGTTTCTCTAACGTGGATACGCGTTCGGGTAAGACAAAGACCTCCGAATAAAGATCTCGTGACGCGGCGGGGGCCGCGTTTTCATTAATTAAAATTCTAAGAAGGCAGGCGAAGCGAGAAAGAAAAGTGGTATGTCGCCGATCCCGAAAGCGTTCTTGCGCGAGGTATAAATTCATTATTACACGAGCCAGTAAGCACGCCGCAGGATTCCTCGCCCGATCGCGCCGTTCTCTCCCTGGATCCTTCCTCCCTTTCCTCCCTTTTTTTCCACCCCCGCTCCCGCCTGTCTACCTATCTACCCGCGAGATATCTACCCGTCCCCGTTCGCTTCTCCCGCTTTCCGAGACGCGCATCGTCTATCGATTAAAAACTTTATAATACGATCCCGCTCCTCGTTTGCTTTCCAGTTTGATTTTTATCGTGCTGTCCCGGGAAAAAGGCAGGTGCGCAACGGTCGCCCGCTCTTCTCCCCCCATCGCAACCCCCTGATATCTCTTCGACGTTCTCCACCGCCACCCCCGTTCGTTCCACCTCCTTGCCCCGATATTTAATTTCGAACTAAGTTCGCCAACGCGAACATCATTACGAGGCGGCATCCCCGCAGGTGGGGTATCGGCGTGTATCAAGGGGCAATTACTTTTTTCTCCTACCCAGAGGCTGGTTATTCCCCGGGTTTCTCCGATGGGGGGAGACTTCTTCGTCTCGATATATCGGGTATCGTGTCTCGCGTCTGGCACAGCCATTGCGGAAAGCGTGCAGACGAAACGAACGAAATAAACTCGCGCGGGGTATCTCGTGGATTTCCAAAGTAAAAATATCTTAATAATGTTCTAAAGGGTATGTCAACGCGGTGGTACATTCTGATTAAAGTTTATTTCTTTTTCAGAACTTTCGCTTATCAGAAATCATCGCTCCGCTGAACAATTATAATCTGTCTCGCATCGCGAATACAATGGTATAACGTAATATAAAATTTCGTCACTTTCCTTTCAAATTAGCAAAGGTCTACATTGATTTCTACAATCGACAGAGGATCGAATTGTCATTGCGATAGTGTAGAAACATATTCACGCGGTGTTTCATCCGGGACACGCCGGTGGCGGCGAGGGTTGGTTGAAAGCCAGGGCGATAAAGGGTGTCGGACGATGGTACGCGCGGAAGCGACGGCACCGGAGTATGAGCAGGAAAATGGAAGGGTATAAAAGGGGCGGTGAAGAGCGGGGAGGCAGAGAGGGCGAGCGGGATTCCCGAGTACCGATGCCGACACACCGGCGCGCGAGGCTGTAATGCGTTATTAATGAACACCAAGAATTTCATTAAAGATTGTTTGTATATCAAACTGTCCACTAAATTATGCCCTATAACCCCCGTGGCGCCTTCGCGCGCCTGGAAACTATTGGCTGCCGCAGTGGTGTTGCCTTTTCCAGGTCCCGTGCGGCATCGACGGGCCGCCGGGCGGGCAAAAGCCGCGATCGCCGCGGTAAAAAGCGAGCGGGCTCTGCACCACGTGGCTCTCGGTCTTGCTCGTCGCGCGTTTTTCCTCGCCGGCTGACACACGGCTCGCTCGATCGGCCGACAACGCCAGCGATATTCGTCGTCCGTCGAAGTCAGTTATTTCGCGACCTTTCGGGACATACATTATTAGGAGGGACGATATAGGTAGCTGGGACGTGGCGCGTGCGACGAGAAGCAAGAAGGACGATGTGTATGTGGGGAACAAGAGAGAAAGAGGACGAGGGTTGTGAGGGCGAGCGGATGAACGGCGAAGAGGCAGAGAGAGAGACAGAGAGAGAAAGCGAGTGAGAGGGTGAAGAGGGTTGGGCACGGATGGTACATGGGAGGGATACAGTTAATCGTTGGGAAGCTATTAACTTCGGACTGGAATGCCCCATAGCGCCTCATTTCGTTCAATGCAAATTTACACCCGACGCCAACCACCTAGCGCGCGCTCTTCGTTCTCTTTCGGCCGCGGAAACCCAAAACGAATGTGGTGTTCTATCAGCGATAATTCTTTTTTTTTGTAACATTGGTTTTCGACGTGACGTATGTTTCTGGTAAATGAAGAAAGGTCGGGCGTGCAGCGATAAAGGTATAAATTGAAAATAGCAAAACTATATACATATATAAAACCTTCGATGAAGATCGAGCAACGTTTTAAGTTTAATAACCATCCAGCGAACCATAGATGCGAGTATGTTCAAAATAAAGATACGCGTAAAGGTGTTAAACTAATTTCTTAAGGACTAGGAAATATTCCAAAAATTTGGAATATTTTGCACAAACGTACTCGACATAAATGCTAGGTGATTCATGATATAAGATGCACAGAAGTGGGGAAAAAAATATATATTTGGGTGAAATCTTCGCGAGCTTAATAGGGATCAGGACGACGAGGAAGATTCAGCTCCTTCAACTTATCCAATTTGGTTGTCTCCTGTAGACGATCAACGTCGTAATCGGTGACCCGGTTCGCAGCTTCATGAAACTTGGACCCTTCTGCTTCCATCGCTACCTCTACCTCTTTCTCCCCTCCCCCCCCTCCCCGATCGTGCCACCGTGGTGTTGCCTTATTAGTTTAGAACTTAGGTTTACCGTAAAGTCGCGCGTGTCACTTATGATCAAAGTCTGCTTGCCAGACGACGAGTCTGAATTTCGCTTTTCGTCGAATTGAATGCCTTAGGAGACCAAGGAGAATTCCAGATTGCACTTGTGACAGCGCTGCCGATTCTCGTGCGAGATCTTCACCGTCTTATGTGTAATTTCTCGGTGAGAAATATGTTTATTGGTGAAATAGTGCGAACAAATTTAAGTTGTCGCGCGCGCGAATACCTCGGTTAATGGAAAGGCGCAGCGCGATCTTTGGCGATGTATTCCTTTCGCATTGTAGCGTTTAGTCGTTGTTTGCCCGACGCAAACATCGGTCCAAGACAAATCCCGGACGCGGGTTGTCACAGCCGGCCGAAATATCGCGCTGGGTGCGCGCGACTTAACGCGCGAAATTGCGCGCGTACGGGCGAAGCGGACCTGACAAATGGCGATGTAACGGGTGCTCAAGATACACATAGTTAACAGCGAGATGCGGCGCGAGTTGACTAACGACGTCGGGCGTTCTCGCGCTATATAATTTCAAAACACACGCGGGCACGCGGCCGAAATGTCGCGTACAGAGGGGCGGGGACGGGGGCGCGGAGGGTTGACCCCGACGTGCGAACATTGCGAGCGCCGTGACAGCGCCTTAATATGAACAAATGCCGGACTATATCTCAGCTTGGGTTTGCTTTGCATTATTCGGCTAACGTCCTCGTTTGCCATCCTTACGCGGATGCCTTAACATTATGACGACCGCTCCTCGCGCGGAATGGCTGTACTTCTCTTTTCGCAGTAACGCGCGTATTACCGAATGCGAATTGATACAAATGCAGGGGGTGCGTGCCACTCGGCGAGCGGCGACGTCCGGATACGCGCCACCGAAGTTGGCAACTGTGGGCGCGCACGCCGTGATACATTTCACGATGGTGGTAGCAACGACGATACGTTATGCTTTTATCAATTTGCACGACCACGTGACGTTACTACACAGAGAAAACGATTTCTTTGGATTTAATCAATTTTGTAGAAAAATTGCACGACGACCAATGGCTGGCAAATCCATGATTCTATTTTCACTCCAAAAATTTCAGAGAGTAGTGTGAGTAAAAATGCATGGTAAAATTTCAAAGTACTCTCATGAAGTTCTTCAAAGCACCATGTTGTCCCACGATTACATGATTTTCAGGGTAGTTTTAAGAGAAAATTCTTCCCGCGTGGACCAGAGTTCTATCGCTTGAGACTCTTCGTCGGCGAATGATTTCTCGTTTCGTTTTACAGCGCATTAGAAAGGCGGAAAAGAAAGGGATTCGAGAAGGGGGGGAAGAAACGTTTAGAGAATGAGTCAAGAAGGGAGGCCAGCTCGGGATATAAGTCGGATTTTAAGAAACCGTGACAAGACTCGAGATGTCTATCTGACTGGCGCTTAGCGAGAGTTCGCGCAACGGCGATGTTAATGGGTCCCGCTTTCGCAGGGGGGGAGAGAGGAAGAAAAAGGGAGGATGCAGAAGGAGAAAGCCGGGTGGCGAAGGGGACACGGCGAAGAGGCGCGCGCGGCGGGGACCAGGGAATGGATGTGTTCACATTATACCCTCTGTTCTTTTAATTTCTTCAAAGGACCCAGCCCCGCGACACCTCGAGCATCCTCGCCGAAGCTTGCAGCCTTCACCCTGCCCTCTCTCGCCCTCGCCCTCGGATTAATAAGGCGTCGACAATATAACGTCTTTTTTTTCTCTCCGCGCCCCCGAACGGGGGGCGGCAGACAGCTACCTAAAGTGAATGAAGGCTCTCGGTAAGAGGAAAAGCAACAGGGAGGGTACTCTCTTACCGGTACTTAGCGGCGGGATGAGCCGAGCTGCCGTTAATAAATGTGTTTCTAACAGTGCAAGAGAGAGGGAGAGAGATAGAGGGACAGTGGGGTGGGGAAAGAAAGGAAGAAAGAAACAATGCGGAACATGGCACTCTCTCGTTAGGCTCTGCCGACGACGACCCCGTAGGAATACGTCTTAACGAGGAGAAAACTTTTAAATGCACGGAAGCGTCATTCGTCGACGTCGAAACCCCGTCTCGCCTCGTTGCCTCTTCGTCGTGTCAACCTCAGGAGACGCCGGATCAATTGACGATTATTAATCGAGTCACGTGAGCCGCGTTTCAGAAAGCAAACGCAGA